CTCAGTATAAAAGAACACTCAATCAATATAAGAATTAGATTTATTTTGACGTTAACAATAGAGCTTAAATTACAAGAAAACAATATATTAGAGATAGAAAAACTTACGGTGATCGGAGTAACGTAAACCTTGTTGACTTGTAAAAAGTCAAGAATCGAGACTATCTGAAAAAAGGAATGTCGATTATATATGAGATGTATAATAAATTTGAAACCCTATTTCATAATAATTTTTTTTATATTATACATTTTTTTCTCTTAAAAATAATAATTAATATATATAACAACCAACGGAAACACTAATTTTTAACAAAATATGTTTGAGAAACGTCTCTAAATTAGAAAGGTTTCGTCCCCGTTAATTGTCGACGTCTCTAACATGTTAGCGACGTCTCGGGGACGTTTCGGTGGTGTCTCCGAGCCGTACCCGTCTCCGGGACGTTTCCGGTACGGGAGACGGCACCAAAACAAAGTACAATAAAAATAAAAATAAACATTCAATCCAACTTTATTTTTTAACCACATATTTAACTTAAAAATGATCTTAACTCTTTTATTTGTCAACATATTAGGAAAGAACAACGTCTAAAAAATAGTATCATAAACAAAAATGAGAAATATTTCTTTACGATGAACAAAAATCATAATATATATAAAATCATGAGAGGAAGAAAATTAACAAAACAAAATGATAAGTAATCATACTACAAAGATGAAAAATTTCAAAAAATGCCATTTTTCAAGTACCACTTTACAAAAATACCACACTTTTGAAATCTTTACAAAAATGCCACTTTTTCAAAATTATTTTTTCTTTATATTATTTATGTTTGGGTTAATTATGTTCTATTAGGGTTTAGTTTTGAGTGTTTAGAGGGTTTAGAATTTGTGAGTGTTTAGAGGGTTAATTATGTCAAAACATTTTTTAGGGTTTAGAATTTTAAGATATAGGCTTTATAAATCTATAATTAATGGCATTTTTGTAAATGGACACCCCTAAGTGGCATTTTTGCAAATGTGCACACAAAAAGTAGCATTTTTGTAATTGCCCCTACAAAGATTGATTATAAAATGATTGATAAAATTATCTTCAAAATCGTAATTGATTATCTAGATAACATGATTTATCTAATGATTATATATAATGATTTTTAGATAAATATATTTTAAAATTATAACTATCGATTTCGAAATGATTGATAATCACTTCATGTTTTCAAGCAT